GGGAGTCTGGAGCTCCCCCTGGCAGCTGCAGGGGCCCAGAGCAGGGTAGGAACAGCCCTGTACCAGTCTGCTCCTGTTGGGAGCTGCTCCCAACAGGGACCATGTGTAGATGTGCTTCCAGGGAAGGCTTACTGCACAGTATTTTACTCCGCGGTAAGCCTTTATAGTATTAATAGTACATCTAGACACCTACTGGGTACACATCTACATGTGCACTTTTCCTAATGCGCATTAAATTTAGTACTTCCAATGTGAGGTACTAAATAAATGTGTATTAGGCTGCCCTAATGTGCAGTACCAAAAGTGCATGTTTTTAAGTGACACTTAATGCACAGTAGCCTATTTTACTGCACATTAGCATAATCATGTTTTTTTACATGATGCTTTAATATGCAGTAAAATAGGTTATTGTGCATTAAAGCACACATGTAGATGTGCCTGCTGTGTGTTAAAGATGTAAAATGTCTATAATGTGGTAAGAGAGGATAAGGGGATAAGGACGGATGCAATGTCACTACCCATACAAGTAGCAGATGATAAGTGGATAAGAAATGGACAGTTTATAGCTGCTATTTATTATTACCAATTCTGAAAGCTCTTCCAGTTGTATTATAGAAATATCAGAAATGAAAGAGTTAACCTCCTTGACTCCCCCCCCCACCATCACCTCCACCTTTAATTACGGATTTGAAGAGGCATTCCTAAAAGCTCATAAAGCAAGAGGTATACAGGGTAGAACTACATATATCTATCTTAGCTCTGTGGAGACAGCAAAGCAGCAGCTCTTTCTCTTGTCTGTGCCAAAGGTAAAGTATTTATTTCTGATAATTGCAAATGAGGATATCCATCTTGGTTTTGTTTACCACTGGTTTTGATGTATTCACCAGCAGTCTTCATCTTTCTATTCATTCTTGCCATGTTCTGGCTCTTCTCTACCAAAAAGGACATTGCAGAGAGGAGAAAGAGTTAGGGACAATAAGCCAATAAACTGGTTCCTACAGTGAGGCAGAATATTTTAGTTGGCACTTTGATAACTCAGACTAGAAAGAGAGAGAGTTTGAGAGAGCTTGACTAAGGTTTTCAGAATCCTGAATGATATTATGCAATAAAACCATTTTTGCCCTGTCTCTGTACCACTCATAATGATCCAACCAGTGTGCTCTCTTGTCTCTAAGGCTTTTGCAGCACACAAGGTCCCAGAGTTTGAAAGTAAGTAGTTTATAAATAATAGTTTATTTAAAACTGTGCATGGATCTATACATTTGTTTAAAGCTGGGCATTTAAATGTAGGTACTGCCTACAAAATTGCCAATTCAAGCTAAACCAATATAAGCTGTTTTTAGGTTGATGTAAGAGTCTATTCACACACTGATACTGGTTTAAGTAAATTAGCTTGTAAGCATACATTTAATTAAATCACTGCAGTTTTGTACAATAACGACCAATGCCAATGACTTCTAAGAATTAAGTCTACTAATGGACAACTATAGAATACTAGGGAAATTAATGAGCCCTTTGAGTAATGGGGAGACAACATAATTTCTTTCCTTGGGAGGATTTTCCTGTAATTTCTGCAGAAAGGGCAGAGATTTGTAGGAAAGAAGGAAAGGTCTCTTATGTCCTACCTAAGGAATCAGAAGCTAGGAGAAGAAACTAATGAGTGAGTCTACACGTCGTTGTACAGTGATGTTGTTGTGGCGCTGTGCTTTAGTAATTCCTTTCAGAAGTACTAAAGCATGATGCAGTATGGGAGGGTATCTGCCATGAGCAGAGCACACTTCGATTTCCCTGCTATATTGCTGTAGCAGCACACTATAAGTGTAGACATGCCCAATGAGGACATTTGGTTCTGGGGACAACTACTAGAACTGGCCCAGACCAAGTAACCCCTGAATTCCCAGCAGGAGTGAACCAAGAACAGTATTTGGAGGAAGACGTCTTTATTTCCTTAACTCTGAAAAATGGCTGGGGTTAAACTACCTTTCATGTCTGTAGGACTGGTGAGCAGACAGGGCCCTAGAGCAGTAACAGCTGAACCTGGGGGAGGTGACCAAGGTTTGGGTGAGTTATCCTCTGCCTTTTGGACAAGGTCATCAGCTGCCACATGCCCTGTTGATATACAGCTAGCTCTTCTTGAGCTGACTGTGGTTGCTGGAACCAGCATTGTGTACCTGTTAGCCATCCAAACAGTTTGTCTTTCTCCATTTACTGTTGGAAGTCAATAGTCACTTTTTTACAAGCAAGGAGGAAGGATACCATTCATTAGCATTTACCAGAAGAGAAGTTGGTCAGAAATGACTTCATGTTTGTTCCTCACGTTCTAGTATTTCCCATTCTTGTTCATCCTAACCAGATCCTGGGTTTTTTATTGCTTCCCATTAAGTAGAAGTTGTCAATAGAAGTCTATAATGGCACTCAGATTACAGGTAATTTAGTCCCCATGTAATGTATATGAGGAACTGATATTATTTCTTGCACTGTAAGTTGCTTTATATTTACCAGCAAAGAATTTAACCTGTGTAGCATCATGGTGTTACTTCATTTATCATTTCAGATTTTTGCAATACAGCTTAAATTCTTAGTAAGTATATTAAACATACTGCTTTTTAGTAAAGAAGGTCTGTGGTATCCCAAAGTTAAAATTTTGCCAGGTAGGAAATTAGCTATTTCTGTTTTCTATCTCCTTACCAGTTTCTTTCTCAGGATAGAAATTTATTGCTTATCCCTGTTAATGCAGTTTCCTTAACAGCTTCCTGTGAGGGAAGGTCCCTGTTTTTTTTTTTACTTTATTATTTAAAATGTAAATCTAATTCCTATGAAACTCATCACAGTTCCTTTGTAAAATGTGTGTACAGCATGCAGAATGGAGAATATGTGGCTAGGCAGAATCTGAGAGCTACGGTTGACACAGGGGCATGAGAGGAGGTGATACCTTTTGTTGGATCATCTTTTCTAATTGGAAGAGATAGGAGATTAGCTTTGGGGTTCAGGTATGCTTAATCAGGCTGGGAAAGTCCAAGCTACCTACAAGTTAGTTCAATTGTTTATTTTATCCTAACGGTATCAATGAATTTGATCATTTGAAATGGGGAACATAGCAGTCTTCTGATATATAAAATGTTATTATGAAAAGGATGGGGGATCTGTTGTATTCCATGGGCACTCAGGGAAGGACCAGAAAACTAACTAAGACCTAACTTGCATCAAATAAAATTATGTTTGGATATTTGGAAAAAAAATTTGACAGGCTGGTAAAAATCTGGAATTGGCTACCTATGGAGTTGTGGAATTTCTTAGCTTTGGAGATTTTTAAGACCATGTTAGACAAATATATCTTACCTCAGTGATGGGACTTGGACAAAATGATCTCGTGAAGTCCTTTAAGAATGCCTTGCTTTCAAAAGCTTGTCTTTCTTTTTCCCAACCATGCAGCTGGTCCAATAAAATATACCGCCCCAAAAAATCATTGTCTCTACATTTCTTTGGTATGTAGCTGAGTTGAATTACAGCTTACTAGCAGCTTGGACACTATTTATTCTGATTATTTTTAAAATTCATAAAAGTACTATCCACTACTACCAGCATGCTGATTTTGAATGAGTTTATTTCAGCAGAATCTCTTCTGGCACTTCAGTCTCTGGCAGTGATTCAGCTTTATGACCACAAAACCCCCTAAATTCAGGATAGTTATAACCCTACCTCCTCTTTGGTGAAGCACAAATATGTAGAAAAAATATCTTTAATTGCTTCCTCTATTCTTCCCTGATAGACCAGTCAACCCAGTACATTTGACCTGCTTAAAGTTTCTCTTTGTTTTATATCTTGACTTATTTTTCCTTTAAAATCCATATTACATTTTTCCCTATAGTTCATACTCCTTTCTACTGGTTTTACTTAGCCTGGATTTTCCTTTTCTGAAGGTTACCTATTTAAATTCAAGAATCTCTTGAGCCTTGCAAAGTCATATGTCTTGTCTTCCTGCTTTTGTAAGGTTCTACATCTCTCTTACAGTTGTATATGTTGTATATGCTTCAATACCAACTCTATGCATTTGGATTCCTTTATTTTTATTTGGGTCTTCTGAACCATTTTCTTCATTTTTCAGAAGATGCCTTAGAAAGGAGACTTTGCTTTGCCAATTCTGGGGACCTTTTATCCCCTCAGATAAATTACTTCAATTATATATTGCTCACAGTTACTACTTTAACCAGTAATTACTGCTTAATCAAATGCATGGTTATTTAGGACTAAGCTGACAATAACCTCTTCATTTACATATTCTGAAGTTTGTTCAAAAAAACAGTTTCTCAAGGTGATGTGACATTTGATCAGTTAATATGAAAATACCTTAAATTCCTTATTGTTGCTTTATTAGGCAAAGTTGCTTCTGATATGTCTTAACATCATGTATTGATTCTTCAACTGCTTATGCATAGGAACAGGTTTTTACATCTCACCATGACACCTCTTATGAAAACTTACTCGCATTTCTAAGACTTGCAGGATTCATATTTTTCTTCACTTGGAAGCTGTATACCCCAATAATGTATTTATATTCCTGAAACTCAGGATATGTGATTCTATAGATTCTATTGTGTGATAGAAACAACCAAATCTAATTAGAGTAGATTAATTCCCTCTTGAGTATGCAATCACAATTCACTGCTACAATAAGTACAAGTCAAAGGGCCAAATTCTTTTTCTCTTATTAATATTAAACTGTCAGGAAAACCAGTGTGAAAAGGCATTACTGATATATATTAGGATGACAAAATGGCAGAATCTGAACCCAAGATTGTTTTTTTTTTTTTTTAAATGCCTAATTTCACAACTGTTGGGAGGATTTATAACAGCTACTTATCAGGTTTGTATTTATGGGGGTTTGTCTTGGAAGCTAATTCCTGCCAGAGGGGAAGGAAGATGTGGTTAGGTAACAAGATGGTGATTAGCAATCTGGCCAAACAGACTCCTTGTCTTTTTTCTTGTTTTTTTCCTGGCAGGTGCCATGTGAAGACTGCATGGAAAGGGGCAACGAGACCACTGCCGCTGACATGGAATTCCTCCTGCTTGGCTTCTCTGAGTTGAACCACCTCCAGACCTTTCTCTTCTTTATCTTTTTGGGTGTGCACATAACCACTCTGGCTGGGAACCTTTTAATCCTTATTGCTGTGGCTGCTGAATCCTCCCGACCCCCCATGCTTTTCTTCCTCTGCCAGCTCTCTGCCATTGAGCTCTGTTATACTCTAGTCATTGTTCCCAAGACACTGGTCAACCTTGCGGACCCTGGAAGTCGCACCATTTCTTTCACTGCATGTGCTACCCAGATGCATCTCTTTGTGGCGCTGGGGGGTGCTGAGTGCTTCCTTCTGGCAGCCATGTCCTATGATCGTTATGTCGCCATCTGTCGACCGCTGCACTACACAGCAGTGATGAGCCAGGGCCTTTGCTTCCGCCTTACTGTGGCTTGCTGTTTGGGGGGCTTTGCTGTCTCTCTGGGGCTGACTCTGGCTGTTTTCCGCCTACCCTTCTGCCACTCTCACCACATTGACCACTTCTTTTGTGATGTTCCTGCTGTGCTGCACCTAACGTGCACGCAGAGTTATACTTTTGAGCTGCCTCTGCTGACTGCCTGTGTGCTCCTCCTCCTTCTCCCCTTCTTGCTCATCCTAGCTTCTTACACCTGTATTGTGGCTGCCATATTGAGCATCCACCCTTCCTCTGGCCAAGGCAAGGCCTTTTCCACTTGTGCCTCACACGTAGCTGTCACTCTCCTGCATTATGGATGTGCCACCTTCATGTACATCCGCCCCAAGTCCAGATACTCACCAAGCCGAGACAAGATGGTGGCCCTTGTTTACACTAACATCACTCCATTGCTGTATCCTTTGATCTACAGCCTGAGGAACAAGGAAGTCAAAGGAGCACTGAGAAAGATGTTACTGCAAAGAACATCTCAGGCAACTTGGAATAATCTCAAGTACAGGATATGTGTGTGCAATAAACTTTACTAGGACATACACCTTCTGCCAAAAACAGATATTCTTTATCTACTTGTAAGATCACTTCTTGGCCTATTCCCCCCCCCACTCCCCACAAGGTTGATATTACACAGAAACATACATGTTTCCAGTCACCATGGGAAGATACTCCCCTCTTTGGCCTGTTCAGGAGAACAAAGGATATTGATACAAAACTGTTTTACCTTGTCTCCTGAAGGCTGTATTATTATTTCAAATACAATGTAAATATTTGTATAGATTTAGATTTAAAGATCAATAAATACACTGATATTACTGTGAAAGTGCCGTACAATAAATTTGAGCTTTCTTTTATGAGGGTCCTCTGGGCGAAGGAGGAAGAGTAATACTGATTCACGTCTCAGTGTGTTGAAAAGAGGCTGCATTCAGATTCTCATCCTGATTAAAGTCATGCACATCATGAAAACTAATGTTATTTTGAATTTTGCTAAACATTAGCAAAGGAAGGTGATAAGGGTCTGACAAGAACGCATTGAGAATATTGGGTCCATTTGTTCTGCACTGGTCTCTGTCAGGAGACGGTTTCAATGTTAGGGTGGTCTGATTAGAACGCAGAAGAAAAGCATTAGTCCGGAGGGCCCATAGTCATTCACTCCCACCCACTCAGACATCACACTTAGAAGCACCTTTTGCAGAGGGAGAGGTGAACCACTTCAGCATCATGAAAGGAAAGGGTAAAGGAGCCAAGGCACTGTCATTATTCTGCCACAGCAATGACAGGAAATCTCTTAGGTTAACATCTGTTAGGTTAAGGTTAAGATTTAAGGAAGAGGCTATGCCTCATGCTACAGAAAGCAAAACAAAGTCTCACTGTCTGTGCCAATCTGACCCTAAGGAAAAATTACTTCCTAACCCTTATTATGGCAGTCAGCCTGACCTTGAGCACATGAGCAAGATCCTGTGCCATGGTACTCAAAAGGTTTCTAAGCAAGCTGTAGGAACACAAGCATCTTCTTGCCAAACTAGCATCTCTCTCTGTGGACAATCTAATGCTTCAGATGGGACATGTACAGACCCCCAGGGGAGACACGTTCAACAGAGGAGTGGCAGAAGGTATCCACCAAAACCAGGGCTGCTTGGGCTAGCGTGGTGGAGGCTCCCCAGGTACAACTGGGGAACGGATATGAGGCCCTGGCAGCCCTGGTGGAGAAGGGTGAAGGGGATGCCTCCAGCAGGGAGCGGTGCACCAGGAGGAAGAAACGCCAGGTCCTCATCATTGGGGATTCCATCCCAAGGGGAACGGAGGGTCCCATCTGTCGATCTGGTGCTCAGGAAGATGTTGGAGAGAATCATCAAGGAGCACATCTATAGGGGACCAGCAGGGGAGATCATGCTTAGGGGCAATCAGCATGGGTTCATCAAAGGCAGATCCTGCCTGACCAACCTGATTGCCTTTTATGACCAAGTAACTAAATCCTTGGATGATGGTGTTGCCGTGGTCGTAGTCTTTCTAGACTTTAAGAAGGCCTTTGGCACTGTCTTTTACCCCATCCTCATCAATAAATTAAGTGACTGTGGCATTGATGCCTACACAGTTGGATGGGTAAAAAATTGGCTGATGGGGTGCACCCAGAGAGTAGTGGTGGACGGGTTGTACTCAACCTGGCAAGATGTGAGTAGCGGGGTACCCCAGGGCTTGGTCCTTGGGCCCGCACTGTTTAACATCTTCATCAGTGACTTGGACGAGGGGGTGGAAAGCACGCTGTCCAGGTTTGCTGATGACACTAAGATGTGGGGCAAGGTGGACACACTTGAAGGGAGAGAGAGGCTGCAACTAGATTTAGACAGACTACAAAAGTGGGCAGATGAGAATAGGATGGGGTTCAACGTAGACAAATGCAGGGTGCTGCACCTTGGGAGAAGGAATTCACAGCATACATACAGGCTGGGGAGTTCCCTTCTTGAAAGTACAGAGGTGGAAAGGGATCTTGGAGTCATTATTGACTTCAAGATGAACATAAACCGCCAATGCCAGACTGCAGCCAGCAAGGCCAGCCATACCTTGTCATGCATCCAAAGGTGCATCTCAAGCGGGGGTCCAAAGGAGGGCCACTCTCATGATCCAGGGACAGCAGGGCAGGCCCTACAAGGAGAGGCTATGGGACCTTAACCTGTTCAGCCTTCACAAGAGAAGGCTGAGAGGGGACCTGGTGGCCATCTGTAAACTTACTAGGGGGACCAGTGGGGAATGGGAGAGACTTTGTTCCCCTGAGCAGCTCCCAGAGTAACAAGGAATAACGGCCATAAATTGTTAGAGAGTAGGTTCAGACTAGACATTAGAAGGCGCTACTTCACAGTCAGGGCGGCTAGGATCTGGAACCAACTTCCAAGGGAAGTAGTGCTGGCTCCTACTTTGGGGGTCTTTAAGAGGAGGCTTGACGATTACCTAGCTGGGGTCATTTGAACCCAGTTTTCTCTCCTGTCCAGGGCAGGGGGTCGGACTAGAAGATCTGCAAGGTCCCTTCCAACCCTACATCTATGTATCTATGACTAGAAAAAGAAAACAAACACAAAAAGAAGCAAGAAAAAGAGAAGTCAAAGAATGCATTAATTGAGAAAATAAATTTCTTCCTGGCCCCCACAGATACCTAAATCTGAATATCACACATTTGGATTATTCTGATTATCACATATTCTAAGAACTCCTTTAATAGCATCATAGGACTGGAAGTGGCATCTTGGCATCCAGTCATATGTGCTCACAGGCAGCTGTTTACCCAAGGAATACCCAAAGTCATGACTTGAAGTCCACACCCACAATTACAAAGTGCATGATCTAGAACACACAAAAAAAAAAAAAAAAGAAAGAAGCCATATCGAATCATAGAAAAGTGGAGATGGAAGGGATCTTTGGAGGTCATCTAGTCCAACGTTTTGCCTGCAGCAGAATCATCTCTATCCAAACTGTTCCATACAAGTCCTTGTCTAACCTATCATATTTACTTGAATACAAAACAAGTTTTTTCTCTTCAGTTATCAGGGGAAAAAATAAGCCTTGCTTTGGATTTGAATATCAGTGCTCTGGCTCTGCCCTGGGGTGGGAGCCCAGTGGTGGAGCAGTGTGGGCTGGGGATTGGGTGGGAGGTAGAGTGGCAGCATGTGTTGGGATGGGGAAGTACAGCACGTTGCTTCCCTACTCCCTGACCCCTACTGTTGTCCCATCCAGACCTGTGTTGCTGATCAGGCAGCAGTGTGGGTCAAGGAATGGAACAGCAGTATTCTGAGGATGGGGCAACAGCATGTGCTGCTTTTCTATCCCTTGACCCATGCTGATGCCCAGTTACCCACTTGAACTGCTCCTGCATCCCCTGACCTATGCTGCTGCCTGATTCCTCAAATTCACTGTTGTCAATCAGACACATGGGTAAGGGTGGCAGCATACGTCAGGAGAAGCTGCAGCAGTACATTGGGGAATGGGACAGCAGCCCTGTGGGGGATGGAGCAGGGGCTGGGTTAGCAGTGGGAATGGATCAGCAACAGCAAGGGTTGGGGATGAGGGGGCACGGGTTCAGGCAGGGGAGCAAGTGGCAGGGGAGATAGACACAGGTGGCAGGGGCTCAGGTAGTGGGGGGTAATTATGGTGGTCAGGCTTCCTGCTCCCTACTGTGGTTGGGGACCAATTTATTAGAGGTGTACTGATACATTGGTCCAATATGGGGTCAGTACCAATATGAAGAAACTGTCTATATTGGATATTGGCCCTATGGGGCTGATAAATGCCCGTGCTGTGCAGAGCTGCAGAGCAGCACAGAGAAGAGCTGGCAGCATGGAGAGCTGCCTCCAACTGGTAAGTCAGAAGGGGAGGGGGGAGGCAGATCAAGGTCCCCCGCAGTGAGGGAGGGGGCAGGGGAAGGGGCAGGCACTGCCTAGCCAGGGTGGGGTGTGGGGGTGTGTGGGATGAAGGCACAGCTCATGGGGTGGGGGCAGCTCCCCCTTGCTCCCACTGCTTACACCCTGGGAGGGCAGGGCCAGGGGGTGTGTGCCCCATGGGGCGCAGGGCAGGTGGCAGCTGTGGGGAGGAGCAGGAGCTGGCACTGCATGGGGCTTTTCTCGGTGGGGGCTGGTCTGGAAGTGGGCTCTGGCAGCGCTGGGAGGAGACTGCAACCACCCCTAATTTTACTGCAGCTCCGCTCCCAGACCCATGCCACTGCCTGCCACCCAGCACAGCCCTGGTTGAATGCCCTGCCTCCACCCAAGCACTGGGAAAAGTCTCTGCTGTGCCGGGAAGTGGGTGGTGGTGCGGGGCTGGAAACAGCTGTGGCAAAATTTGGGGTAGCTGCAGCCTCCTCCCAGTGCTGCCGGAGCCTGCTCTGAGTCCAGCCCCCACCAAGAAAAGCTCTGCGCAGTGCCAGCTCCGGCTCCATCCTGCAGCTGCAGCCTGCCCCACAGGTCGTGGGGCACATGCCCCCACCTTCCCAGGGTTCAGCCAGTGGCAGGAGCAACCCCCACCCCACA